ATTTAAAGCATCGCTTCGGATTTGTTTGGTTTCTCTCCCAGCTGCCTCACCTTAAGCAGGCAGTTCACATCGTCTCCGTGTCAGCTAACCCACAGGTAACAGCTGGAGTGCAGCTCCCGCTAGGGCCATCAGCGCTGCTGTGGGTCAGGCCACTCTCTTTTACGTACGACAACAAGGTGTAACCAAGACAGCAATCTCCCTTACAGCATTACTCATTGGAACATGAGGGTAACGACCGTATTGGGAACTGTAGCTATCTAAGGGTATGCTGGTACAAACACCACACGTAGAAAACCAAACCTGCCACCACCAGCTTGTCGGTACAAATTAGTCTGGGTATAATTTAGTATTTATGATGTTGTGTGTTATTGGAAGGCACACGCAAGCATCCAGACACTTACATGAACTAAATTTGAGGTGTGATGCTGCGGTCACATAAAATGTACATACATCTTTGCATCTGAAAAACTGGGAGACTGATTACCACTGGGGATTGAATTGGATCCGTGAGGACAACACTCACGCACCTCCCTCAGAAACGGCAGAGATTGTTTAACTAACGCAAGTATCTGAGTGTCCTGCTTATAAAAGGCACTGGACTAAATTTAACCACAAACTTAAAGATGAAACAAAAAGCTATGAACAGTTTCGGACATTCCCTTTTTTTTTTGACGAATGCTACAGTTAACATCCTCCCTTGTGGTATTTAACTGAAAATTGGTGACCCATCTTAAAAACTATAGGTTTGAGACTTGCGGTGTCTTAAAAGGGACCTGATCTTTACACATAAAAATACCAACAAGAATACACTGCTCAACCACCCCCCCGTCGCTCTCAGCTATTTCAGCGGGGCTTCCACAGACGGAAGCACTCATGATCACTGCTCAGTTTTGAAAGATGGACCTTTGGGGTTAGATCACAATATGAAAATTACCCAGCTAGTTCCCATGAAGTGTTTTGAACACAAAAGCTCAGTATAAATAATAATGGTTCAGTTCCCTTTTTTAGCTATGAAACCAGCTTGCAGATTAATATTCTTCAATTGCAAAATAACAATATTTCAGTCATTTGCCCTCTTAAATGCAATTGGGGTTAATAATGGTCTATGAAAGCAAAGCTGTTGGCAAACAGTAACCCAGAGCGAAAAGTTCAGCATTTAGGTATCTTAGCTACATTTTACTGTAAAAGTCAGACTGTAAATTCAGAAAAATGACCTCGTAAATACCATCTAACCCACTAAGGATCCCAAAGCTCGAAGAAACCTGTATTCTCTGCTTCACAGATGCCAAGAAGTAATTGCCATTCGACCACCAAGGCAGCTCCTTTCACTTATGGCTATTTCTAATTCATGTATGTAGCGCCTTACCTGCTAGATGTGTTCAGATCAATTTAGGTCATAAATATGAAGTGTCACAAAGTTTAAGTCCATTTTTGGATCTGTGCCCAATTGCATAGATATCTGAAGCTTATGTGAAGTGAGATGAACTGCTTTCCAGTTCAAAGTATACGCTACGATGTATTTGTATTGCCTACAAATCAGTTATTGAAATAATTTTGTAAATAATTGTTGTCTCCTAACCTACAGTATTAAGGTAAAGCTCCCTGGGACTTCCAAACACAAAAGCCTGAAGTAAAAGCTTCTGAATCTCAAAAGAAAAGCGTAAGTTATGTCAGAGTGTTCAACAATTATAAGAACGATGTGAAAATTCTCAAAGGTGAGTGATAATTTTGGGTGTCCACACACAAGGTACAGATGTGCAGCCCTTCCTGCAAATTTAGCTCTATTAAAGTTTCTTGGGGTTTGTATTAAGACACGAACATGCTTCCAAGCAGGGTATGTGAGTTGGGTAAATCCTTGGTCAGAGTGCCCTGCTCCGAGTATTCCCAGCAGTTACAGAGACAGTAACAGAACTGTCTGCAGTATTGAGCAAAGCACTTGCTATTAGAGCTGTCCCTGAAGAATAGCCACGAGCAGGTCGAAAGCTTATGGGTAAGAATCAGAGAGAGAGGCAACAAAGGGAACCTAGTGGTTGGTGTCTACTACAGGCCGCCAGATCAAGAGGAGCTGATAGACAAAGCGTTCTTCCTCCAACTCCAGGAGGCCTCGTGCTTGCAGGCTCTCGTCCTACTGGGGGACTTCAACCACCCCGACATCTGCTGGAAAAGCAACACGGCAAGCTGTAGGGAATCCAGCAGGTTCCTAGAATGCATTGAGGACAACTTCTTAAGCCAGGTAATAAGCACCCCTACCCGAGGGGATGCGATACTAGACCTGGTGGTCACCAATGCGAGTGAGCTCGTTGGGGATGTCAAGATCGGAGGTAGCCTGGGCTGCAGTGACCACACGCTGGTGGAACTAATGCTACTGAGGGAAATGGGAATAACGAAGAGCATAGTCAGGACCCTAAATGTTAGGAGGGCAAATTTCCAGCTCTTCAAGGAGATAGTCAGAAGGACTCCCTGGGAAACGGTCCTCAGGGACAGGGGAACAGAAC